GGCTGGTGAGAATGGTTTTACAGAAAGGCAATCTAGAAGAGTGCAGTGATAGGAGGTCAGGGCTTAACTTGACTAGTCATGCAAGACATTTTCTGACACTAGTGTAATTGACCTATCGGTAAACCCCGCCCCCCTTAGTTACTGTTGCTCCCTCGGACAAACAAACGGAGTTGCTCACTGACTCACAATGACGGCTGTCAGTGTGAAAACCTTGTCCCACAATGTTTTTGCACAATTTTGGACACAGAAGGGCCACCATTCAAGTGGGAATAAAATATTCCATGGAGGGATAATATATTTTAAAATAAATACGGTGGTTAACTCGAAGCGAGGGTTTACAGATCACAATACAAACAGGAGAAGTCTCATCTTATGGCCGTCACGATCGCAGATGACAACATCCCGGATCAACACTGTTCATGTATCGCAGGGTACTCACGTCCGGTGTAGACACATTGGTTTTGCTTTGTTTCACAGAACTAATCGTTGTCTGGGTTGCGTACGTATGTGTGGGGCGGAGCTATCAAAATAGGGGCGAGAGCCTTTTGGGTTAGGGGTGTGTTTGTTTTGGTGATTTCAATTGTCAACATTGGCTACCAGAAATCGCTTACCCCACCTTTAAGTTGAAAGAGATTTTATTTTATTTTTTGAACAACTCTGTTTATCTTATGGTGACTGAAAGAGGTTTTAGTTGGTTCTTGTAAAGAGTAAACTCGAATGTGAACAACAAGACAACCACTTAGACACATTGGTTTTGCTTTGTTTCACAGAACTAATCGTTGTCTGGGTTGCGTACGTATGTGTGGGGCGGAGCTATCAAAATAGGGGCGAGAGCCTTTTGGGTTAGGGGTGTGTTTGTTTTGGTGATTTCAATTGTCAACATTGGCTACCAGAAATCGCTTACCCCACCTTTGAATGTGTCAGTTCCAGTGCTGTCTATGCAGGGTCAGAAAGCTCTTGGATTTCATCAAAAATATCTTAATTTGTGTTCAATATCTTAATGAGGGTGAGGAATTAATGACAGAATTTTCATTTTTGGATGAACTAACGCTTTAAAGATATGCATTATATAATTAATTTCTACAGATGCAAACAGATAAAGTGCAATAAAAATAAACACTTAAAAGTGTTTTTGGATGTTTTCTTTCCACTAGTCTGAAACAACACATTCAAAAATCTCAAAACTGACCAGTGCATGAAAAAAACAATGTTTTTGCCTGTAGAGTCTTGTCTTTGCATATAAAAAGATCATATTCAATGGGATGTGGCCATGAACAGGAAGTAGATTTACCTGGTGGTGAAAATGAGCGCGAAGGCAGCAGCCAGGTGTGGCATCAGTCTCAGGTACTGCGTTTGGTGCTCGATGATCTTCACCTCATCCTGATCCTTCGGACCGAACTGTCTGCGACTGCGAAGAACATTTAGACGTTGAAACTCATTCAAAATGTCACTGCACACTCAGAAACCTCTGTCATTGTCACATAATCACATTCAAACCCAAACAGACACAGCGGGGTCACAGCAAAGGGTCAGACGTCCCACAACACACCTGGATGTTGATGCACCGGAGAAATAAACCGTTAACCTTCCAGGTAACCCACTTTTCTAACCGCAGTGCATGCATTAGTGTGTGCGGAGGAAGACTTATTGTGGTGGACGTCTGGTCTTGTGTCTGTATGTGTTTGTGTCTTTCTGCTGTACTGAAGTCGAGCTTTGTACACCTGTGACTCTTGAACTACCACAAACTGTATCTCTACATCTAACATCTGCAGGTGGCTTCCCCACAGAGCAGACGAGATGGGAGCATGTGTGTGTGTGTGCGCATATGTGTGGTTTTAAAGGTGAGAAGCCCACACAGAAATCCTATTGTAACATGCCTCATCTAAAGTTGAGTGTCTTCTCTTGTACAGGCCTCTTAAAAATAAACAGACACTTTATGTGCTGGTCAAATGTCATGTAAAAGCACATTCGGTTACTGATGTTATTGTAGAAACACCCTATTTATAGATGTACAGTATTTGTCGAGTAAGTAAGTAACTAAATAAACACAGTATTAATGCTGCAAAGTACTAAAACAAATACAAATTCAGCTATGAAGAAGACAATAGTGTCATTATTCAGTTTAATTTAGCTCAGTGTTGATTTAATTTAGTTCACTAATAGTGCAAAGTTCATCAAATTATTAATAATTGGACTATAAGCAGCTGTACAGAAGACAACAGTGTCATTATTTAGCTCAATGTTGATTCAGTTCAGTTCAATAAGTGTCGATGTTGCAGAGTTTGTCACCTATTATTATTTATTCTTCAACCAAATATCCAAAAGTAAAACTGAAACTGAAATAAAAAATAAATTAAAGCTATATAAAATATATATAAAAAAAGTCTAAAATGACTAAAAATAAAATAAAGAATTCATTAAATAAATCTTTATAAAACTATATAAAAAATACAAAATGTAATAAAAATGACTAACTAAAAGCTATATACAATAATTAAAAAAGTCTAATAAAATGACAAAAGCACATAAAATTACTAAAACCAAAAATGAAAACATAAGAAAATATTAAAATATTAAATACTTCAATAGTATATAAATATCACTGCTATTTGTTAACACGAACAAATAGATGCACAACTTCAGTGACGTCAGTAGGGTTGCTATTGAGATAAAGCAAGTTACATACAGCTGTTCATGTGATCTCAACATGACAACCTTCATGAGAAAGGACTGCTTTTTATCTGAGAGTCCTTTTGGGATGTTTTACATCCCTTACAGTTCATTTCTTTAGAAATAAACCTCTTTTTCGTCGGAACACAGCTCTATGAACTATTTTGAACTGCAATATTCTATAGTGGAACATATAGAAGTCGGCGGAAGACAGTGGAACCACATGATGCAAGCGCACACCTACATTTCCTGAAGACTGATGAAATGCATAGAGTGTCGTCTGTCATCTGAACAACTGTCCTTCATTAGTCAAGTCAAGTCAAGTCTGCTTTATTGTCAATTCTTCCACATGTACAGCACATACACACAGAGAA